CTCTTCATTGCCAATGAAGAGTGGAATTCCACTTGCATCCTTGACTTCAAGATTGCAGGTTCAGTCAAAGCCATCTGCAATACTGAGGAATCTAACCATCTGGTTAAGAGTGAAGCCCTGGCATCAGCTAGAAGTGACACTCCCACCCTCAACTCAAATGTCACCAACCATTGTCTGATTGGTCATGAAGCCATGCCAGGCCCTACCCCTGAGCTCAGTGCACTCATGAACCACCACCTAAAGGTGCTTTTGGGCCTGAATGACAAAATGAAATGGGACAAATGAGACCTCCTCAATCCAAGGTCAGTCTCGGTACATGCATGGTGACACAAGTTATTTGCAATGCTGTCCATAGTGTCACAGGGCCAGCGCAGAGATCATAAGCAGCCGTGCTGTGCAGCCACCGAAATGAGCTCAGTGCATAGGAAGCAGAACTGGTCAAGACCCAGGGGCTCTGACCAATCTCATCAAGGATGGATGGACAAAGAGCTGGGGGCAAAACCTCATCAAGAATGGTCAAGACAGTGGGTTGCAGGAAGTTTCACTGAGGCTGGCCCAAGATGAAGTGGATCAATTGGTCTCACAATGAGATGAAGATGCTCCAGTAAGACCATAAGGCCAGCCACTGGGGATAGGGGATGAGAAGACCTTGCCACCCAATGTGGTGGGAGAGTAACCCCTGAGTATGATTAAGGCAGCATAGGAGGATCACTGCCTCAGCCAGAGGAGTAGGAGCAGGAAGGACTGGGATGCCAAAGGAGCCAGATAGACAAGGGTGGATGGAGAGGCCACACCCCTGCAAGGAGGGGGGCCATGGTGGAGTCAACACCATGGCACAAACATATATATACACCCCCCCATCATAGTGAATGAGTGGATCTGGCATCCACTCTATTCTTAGCTAACTATACTCTACTGTAATGCATATTTATTTGTTCTGTCACATAGTTGCAATCACAGGCCATTGCTACTAATCCAAGCATGTGTGTTGTATCACCCCTCACTGATGTCATCTGTAGGCAGTAGTTACTACAGTCAAGATATCTATCTCTCCGAAGGCAGTACCCATACTGCAGTCCAGGCTTCTCTCACCAACTTGCCATCTGATCATTGGCACCTTGAACACTCATGTTGAGTCGACAGATTATCACCCCATATATTAAGTGTTCTGCAACAAGCAGGAACCAACTGTGCTGTGTTACCACTGAACTGAGTGTTCACAGTGGTTAGCCAAAACTTATTGAACAAACAATCCTTCAAGCAGTGTCAGTGAAAGTGGCTGACAGGTGCATACTCAAGAGCACTCACTGAAACTGGTTGAAATCAACCAAGCCAGTAGTTTTCGGGTTCCAGGCTTACGACCGCTGACATCATCCACTGCGGTCCGGGGATCACTCAGTCACTCAGTTGGCACACTGGACACTTGTGTCGGCACAACCTCATCAGCACCAGACCTTGGTGCTCATCATGTAACTATAGTTATTGATTGTGCCAAGCTACCTCTGGACAGAGTGTCCACAGCAGTTAGTTGAAACCTGCAATAACAATCAAGCTATCACATATTTGAGCAAGAGAAGTCATAGAAGCCTTCTATGACAGATTTCAACAAGAATAATAATAAATGGCCTTTTACCACATATCTCGAGAAGATCAGTAGTAGGCGCATTTCTACTACAGATATCAGGTTTCAGGTGCACGACCTCTGACACCAGTGTGATTGCTAACTGCTGGAAGCATTCCTCGAACGTTTGACGGAGTTGAGCTGTGACTGTTTGGATTATGGCTTCGATGTCCATGCTGGTTGTTAATGGTGTGTTAGTGATTTTGGGGTCAGGGTTGGGCCTCTCCCCCAGTTCTGAAGTTGTGTCCGGGTCGCGAGAGGAGCGAGTGAAAGGAGGCATGTTTGAAGGTGTTTGTTGTTGGATTCGTAGTTGAGAAGCTTTGGGCATGTGGTGAGAACGACTCTTGTCACCATGCGCTGCAGCGCAGTCGCAAGATGAGGTTGTGAATCAATGATATTGCAGAAGGTAGTGAGGCTTAGCGACGAGGAGAGCGATATCTAGTCTGACCACAAACATCCCGGCCGAGAGGCCAAAACGAGTGTGGCGCGAGACAATCCGGTCCTATGACAGCTCTCTGGATCTCATACCGAAGGCAGTCATTCACTGCGGTCTGGTTACCTTTCAATCAATCAACTCATTTGTGTGACTGTCGACACTACAGACACTTGTGTCAAGACAGACATTATTGCCACACAACCTGGTGTGGTCGAAGTAGGTTCTCTAGGACCTTGATTGTGCCACACTACCACTGGACAGAGTGTCCACAGCAGTTAGTCAAAATCTGTGCTAACTCATTGTTATAATCTATTTTAATGAGAAAGGTCATAAAGGGCTTTTACAATAGATTTTGCCAGGAACAATTCTAGTCAGTTTTTACAATAGATTTCAGGCTCCAGGTGCACGACCGCTGACACACCACAGGAAGTGACCCATCTCACTCCAACAAGTTCGGAGACAGTGGTAAGGTATATATATGCTTGTACGGTCACATCCCATCATAGAAAATACAAGCATTCTTAAGAAGTCATATGCCTGTGGTAAGAGAGCCTGATCTGTTGAAAGATAGGGCTCTTATCTACGCTTATCAGGTGATGCCTGTCATGGGCCTGGATGCTCAAGAAGCAGGAGGGTCACTGGTTCATATGGAAGGAGCACAGGTATCAAAGATCTAGTTGATACCAGTAGAGAGCATGGTTGTAGTGCAGTCTCCATGGAGACCATGGACTCCTATGGACTCACATGCAAAGGAGGACTGAGCCATATGCGAGGAGGGCCAGGCACAGCCATAAGGAGGACCAAGCTCAAGGAGCAGGCACAGCCACAAAGAGGACCAAGCTCAAGGAGCATGCAGATGGTTACCACTCAGGGGCTCAAGAGACAAGAGTCCAAGGAGTCAACACCAGGTCATGAGGAGGAGGAGCAGTGTCGAAGGAGTCGACACAGCTCAAGAGGCACAGGGGTGCCAAGCAAGCAGGAGAGGCCCCTGAACAGTACTCGATGAAGAAGGTACTCTCTGGACAGAGAGCAGGAGCAGTGTCGCTGGCGACACTGTGAAGAGGTATATAACCATGCTTTCTCATCATCAAAGGTCGAGTGGATCCTCATCCACTCTACTCACCATACAACTAGTCAATACTTTAGAAACAAAAGTACTCATTAGTTTTCAGTCAGCATAGCAGCAATCTATCAAGGTTGCTCCTCATTGTAGTGTGTGTGTTGTATCACCACTACCTGACATCCGAAGGCACCCCATAGCAGGTTAGTGGTCTGGATATAGATAGAACCGAAGGCAGTAGTCCACTGTGGTCCGGGGATCACTTCAAGCATCAAGTCAACACACTGGACACTCATGTTGATGCCACCAACCTCATCACCAACACCATCAACCTCATTATCATCAACATTCACCAACCTTATCACCAACACCATCAACCTCATCATCATCAACCCTCACACCAGACCTTGGTGTCATCACAACCTACATATTGATATTGATCATGCCAAGCTACCCCTGAACGGAGTGTCCACAGAGGTCAGCCAAAACCTACAATAGTATATACCCAATCGCCACCCATCGTGCAACTTGATAGTCGCCGAGTGACTAACTTGTCAAGACCGAAACCGAGACAATAGCTGTCGCACAGTTTGATAGTCACCGAGTATCTCGACAGACCGACCTGGGTTTCAGGTGCGAGACCCCTGACAATGCCAATCTAAGCACAGTGTTCATGCTATTGAGCTAAAACACTATACTATATTGACTTAAGGGAAGAACATAGTGGTAGCCTTGAGCTCTCTACTAAATGTCTATATACAGTAGTGGTACATGAGCATAAGTGGGAGCATTCCACCTAATGTCAACAAGTGGGACCCAGTTGTCCCCAATCTCTGCTATATTGGCTCCACCTGATCTATGATCAGATCTGCTTTCCCTGATTGTATTCCAGATCGATTCTGCCCGATCTCCTGTCATTTAGCTTCCTTCTGGTTCGTTATCTTTAGCATGATCATATTGAGAATGACGATCCAATATGATGATGTTGGTTGATGTAAGCTGATACGAAAGGGATCAGGCGAAGGATGACCTGATCAGAGAACAAGGATCAGGTACAACCTTGTCCTGCTCATTGTCAGACCTTGTCATTAAGTAGGATGTACCCACATTGGGCAGGTGCCACTCATACTGTAAATATATCAAGTGGAGAGCTCGAGGCTCCTGCCACATTCTTTTCTTAGTCAATTGAGTAAACATGTTTCTGTCCTAAAACAGCAGTGACATTGTGCTCCGACTCTCACCAATCGCCAGTCATCGGGACCCGTGCGATCCACATTTTCTCAGATCGTGTCTCCGAAGACAGAGCATAAGTTAAATTTAGATGCGACGGTCCAGAGGCCACAGTCAGGCACTCTTATAGTCGGGTGATCTAAGTAAAAGGACTGTTTTTTATTATTATTATCAATGTGAGGGGCTAAAACTTAGTGTATATATACCTTAACGGCTGGCCATGCTCACTCTTGATTCACATCTCGTATTATCTCCCAGTGGGTTGCCTTGTCATCACTTCACCACTGTTGTCATACCAACATACCCCCTGCATGCTTTGGTGTCAGGCCTCATGCATAGGCTGCATGTGCTTTCATGAGTTTTGTGTCAGCCTCATCCCTGTCATCACTTTGCATTGCTCCTACCTTCCTGCACTCGATACTCTGATCTAACATGTCATCAGTTGGAAATATCGCGGTATCTTCAACTGCATAATACCTTGTTATCTTCATTTATATTCGAACCCTTTGAGAAGAACTCACACTTGCCCCCCGAGCTGGGACCTGCATGAAAACAGCCCCGGACGAACTCAATTTCACCCGTGAGCACCTCCTTCCTTCGCCCCTCTCCACCATCTCAACATCTCCATCATTCGATCCATTGACAGCCTCAAGATGCCAGGATACACATTAGCAGTCATCGGATGCGGTACAATGGGCGTAGCCATCCTTTCGGGTGTGCTTGACTCGCAACGCTCCCAGCAAGCCCAAGCTGCCGCTTCAATGGCATCGTCCGTCTCCTCTTTGCACAATTCTTCAGCAGGCGACGACCTCACCGAACTACCCAATCGCTACATCGCCACTGTCAACCGAGTTGAATCGGTCCGTCGGCTTAAGAAGACCTTCGCTCAATATCCCGACATCGAGATCCACGCAGGCAAGAACGTCCAAGCAGCCCGTGATGCCGACGTCATCTTGCTCGGTTGCAAACCTCAAATGGTCCAAGACATTATCACTGAAGAAGGAATCAAAGAAGCGCTTGATGGCAAACTCGTCATTTCCATCTGTGCCGGTCTTCGTATCTCGCAGATGACAGAATGGGTCACTCCCAAGACAAAAGTCGTTCGAGCTATGCCCAACACTCCGTGCAAGATCAGGGAGGGAATGACCATCCTCACTCCTCTCTCGCCCAACCTGCCCAATGCTAAGCTCGACCGCAGCATCTTGCTTTCTATCTTCAGCGCAGTGGGCAAAAGCAGGTTTTTGGACGAGAAGCATTTCGATGCATGCACTGCGCTGGCCGGATCGGGTCCAGCTTTCGCATGCGTGTTCTTGGAAGCAATGGCAGATGGAGGTGTAATGATGGGTTTGCCGAGAACAGAAGCGTTGGAGCTGGCAGCGCAGACAATGCAGGGAGCTGCAAGGATGGTTATGCAGAGTGGAATGCATCCTGCTGCTATCAAGGATTCGGTCACTACTCCTGGTGGATGCACGATTGCTGGTCTGCTCAACTTGGAGGATGGCAAGGTTCGAAGCACGGTGGCGAGAACGATCCAGGCTGCTGCTGAACATGCTAGTGGTCTTGGGCAGACGGAGAAATGATCCCATTCTCCAACTCTGAATTCTCAACGTCACCTTCATTCATATCAGGCAAGTTTCAGTATCCATTGCAATGTTATAGATTTCGAAAAAGTGCATGATGTTGCGGCAAATGCCCGTGTATGCTTGTCTATCGTGAAGGACTCTGCCACGATCTGCATTTAGCAGTATTGTGGTTTGGCCGTTGACTAGTCTATGTACTGTACCCCAGTACAGCTAAAGGGAATTTAGGCCTTGCAAATCAACCCATGCTCATCCAACACAGCCAACTGCGCACCCAAACACCATCCCATCTCCGTCCCACCAAGCTTCTTGGCAATACTGATCTCCCTATCGCTGCCCAACTCGTAACCCAGACTTAATAATCCATGCATGAAGCTCAGATCCAAACAAGTCTCTGGCCTGTCTTCGAGCTCGGCTATCGCTGCCGCGCCGAACCCTTGTGTGTCGGTCTTTGAGTAAGCGCATGCACGATGAGCGACCGCTTCGAGATCTTTGATCTTGAACTTGGGTCCGAGCCCCAGTGGTTCGAGTCGATCGTAGAAGTATGAAAGAGCAATGATGGGAGCTGTTTTGAAAGTTTCCATGAGCGAAGGTTGGTAGACACCACCGAAAGAGCACGATTTGGAGGTGCAGACTGCGTCTTTGTCCATCATGACTTCGACAAGTCGTCTGCACGCGGGGAAACCGCCGTCAGTGCCGACCATTGTGACGTTGGCATGGGTCTTTTGGTCCGGTTGAGAGATGAGGACGGCTTTGGTTCGGCCGTTGGTAAAGCAAGGGGATGGGATGCGTGTGGTTTCGGGCCGTAAAGAGGTCCATTCGAGTGAGCCTTGAGCACCGTTGTGGGCGGATCCGGCGAGAACAGCTTTAGGATGCGCCAAGCTGTAGGTGAAAGCAGCAAGCGAGTTGATCGACATACGCGCTTGCATCAGACCGTAGCCCAGGTACGAGTTCTGGTAGAGCGTATAAGGCTTAGTACCGAACGCGTTGAGCTGGTAGACGTGCTCGCCTGGCTGCATACCTTGCAGCGCAGAGGTGAAGCTGGGCTCAAAAACGATCTGAGTCGAACCACCGCCCAAGTCCATAACAGCAGCTGTTTCCTGCTTGTTAGGCAAAGAAGAGCCAATGCGGTTGAGAAGGTAGTTGACCGTGATCCAGGCAAAGACACCTTCATCTTTGCCCTCCATGATCTCAACACCCTTGGATGCCTTGGTGCCGTCGGCGATGGGGAAGGGGTATTCGTTCTCGAGCATGTGTCGAACAGCCTTGATGACGTCCTCTGCCTGCTTGCCCGGAAGAAGACGAAGACCAGCAGTCGCCTTGACTGCGACGGGCGTGCACTTTCGCAGCTTGGCGGGAACTCGTTGAAGAGCTGACTTGAGCAGCGGCCTCAAAGAATCGGCAGCCGCTTCTGGGTTGGTACCGTAGTTGCTAAGACCGCCCTTGAGCATCTCGAAATACTCGTCTTCAAGTTCGGGAGATTGGGAGCAGTAGTTGAACCGATAGACGTGGATACGGCTGCCTGTACTTCCAGCATCGATCATGAGTGCGTACTGAACCAGCGGTCGAGGGTTGCCCTTGCGGTCGAGTGGTCTTGGTCCGGTGCCATCGCAGCGGGTCGTCTTGGACGGGTCGGGGTGCAGCGCTGGCTTCTGTCGCACAGTGTGAGCGCTTGTGCCGGTCACAGGTGCCTTTGCTGGTGTCGTCGCAGCAGGCGGGAAAGTGACGCGGAATCCAACAGCGTTCTTGTTCTCCTGATCTGGCTTCGCCTTCCACGGTGCGTTGTTCTGATAAGCCTGCCCGACCTGACCAGCCTTGTCGTTGACGTAGCCGACTACCGCATCTCGCGAGTCCCTCCTGCCAAACAGCACAATCAGCGCCACAAAGCCAAAGAGGAGGAGGGCGAGGCGCCTAGATCCGAGTGGCATTCTTTTTGATGACCACGCACGCGAAGAAATGCCCGCTGCACCGCCTGCTAATGTGTGAGGAGGGTATCCCGAGTGATCCTCGCCGTCAGGCGAAAGTTCGTTGGAAGCGAGAAAAAGAGCTCCAGTCTCGGAGTTGTCGAGATCGACCGAGGAGCGAGAGATGGACTTGGCTCGGTAGTGCTTTTTGCCCGAAGTTGGCGGAGCGCGGCGTGGGCTAGTATGTGAGGGTGAATGAGACATGGAAAGGGTGTATTTCTAGGGGAAATGCACGTCTGTCAAGAGCGTGAGAGGACGCCTGACAGCTGCCTAGAATGGCTGGCGTGAAGCTTGCCAACGACCGTAATAGACGCAGCGAGCGGGGGCGGTCGGGCAAAAGTATCACGAATGGACGTAAGAGTCGAGGTTGATGTCGCGGTCGGTCACTTGTTCCTGCAACCGGAGTCATGCCTCTGCTCGATAGCGAGTCTTGCAAATCTTCCTGAAAGTTCGTGTTGTTCGGCGGAGTATGCAAGCCGTACTCCCGTGGCCGAGTTGGACGACAAAAAGTGAGCTGCAGGACAGTGGCTGTTAGACCTGCATTATAAACACGGGCCAGAGCAGGGACCGGAGCCTGTGCAGCTCCCACTTCTAGCTTCAGGTTTGCTTGTGATGACCATGTTCCGTGCTGCTTGCATCGCATGACGATGACGGCTTGATCATCTTGCAAGCTCCTCCGACAACCGCAAGCATATGCTCGAGCCCATTGAGAAGGGAAGCGTCCTCTCGACCCTCTCACATGTGGCAGCATAGCCGTGCTGAGCATATTCGGAACGTGCCTTAGACGCCCGTGCGCTGTCGGATGACTACGAACCTGGAATTCACGTTTACTGTATTATTTTTTTCATTCTTGTTGGTATGCCAGGCTGCGTGAACAAGTAAGCTTTAGTTGAGGAGACGCGACAAGGTAAAAAATAATTGAAGATAACAATTAATACACGGCGTTATCGGGGTCACGATCAGACTCCCTTTACAACAGCTGTATGTTCTATGTAATGCTAAGTTTTCATAGTGTGAACCTAAATGACAAACACATATATATACTCCATTTGCTGCTCTAGTCCTATCCGAGATGGGATGTGTCACTTCATTCATACTCCTATGTTGCTATGATACTGAGTGCCACTGAGCTGTCGCCATGACAACAATCATGTATATCATTGTGCTTCTCGCTTAAGTAAGCCTCCTGTGCCTCGGTGTCTCGGCCGTGACATGTGCATCTTGCTTGAGTTGCCGATGCATCTTCAACTAAAATTGACTGCAAAATTTTGTTCCCAAAATGGAGAGGGGGGACTTGGGAGTTTCTGGACTCAAATTGCAGAAACAGCCAAGTCCCGGGCTTGAGCTTGTATTTAGTATTTCACCATTACAGCAATTCTGAACACCTCAACTGATTAAGAGTATGAAGCTCAGCAGCTTCCAGCACCCTGCTGTCAGCAAACTGCAAGCAATCAGCATGCCACCCAGGGTAAGACAGCATAGCTCTGCTAGAGCACACCATGCAGATGATCAGGGAACCTCATGCTGACTGGAATGAAGACCAAATCTTGGAGCACACTTTCTCTGTGATGAACCTTCACCCTGTTACTGGGCAGGTGGAAAAGACCCCAAAATGGTACTCAGCATCATCTCACAGATTGTCAAGCTCAACAAGAACAACTGGGCCATCTGGGAGCCCATGTTCATGGACTGCATCCAGCCAGTCAAGAACACTAAATGCATCCTCACTGGAGAGATCCCTAGCAGCCACACTGACTATGACAAAGAACTAGACAGTCACCTGCTGGGCCTCATCCTGTCCTCATATGACCATGGACCCAACAGCTGCATTGACACCTACACAGTACAGGAGCAAGGTGAGGAGGAACAGCTTGTCATGGGCCTGAATGTTCAAGAAGCAGGAGGGTCACTGGTTCATATGGAAGGGGCACAGGTATTGGAGATCTAGTCAATACCAGTGGAGAGCATGGTTGTAGTGCAGTCTCCATGGAGACCATGGACTTCCATGAACTCACATGCAAAGGAGGACTGGGCCCATATGCGAGGAGGGTCAGGCACAGCCACAAAGAGGACCAAGCTCAAGGAGCATGCAGACAGTTACCACTCAGGGGCTTGAGAGACAAGAGTCAAAGGAACTGTCACCAGTCAAAGGAGAAGGAGCAGTGTATAGGAAACTGGCAAGCAGGTCTTGAGGAGGAGGAGCAGTGTCAAAGGAGTCGACACCACTCAGGAGGCACAGGGGTGCCAAACAAGCAGGATAGCAAGGAGGAGGAGCAGTGTTGAAGGAGTCGACACAAAGGCACAGGGATGCCAAGCAAAGCAGGATAGCTCAAGGAGGACAGGAGTGGTGCTAGAGGGGCCCCCTGTACAGTACTCGATGAAGAAGGTACTCTCTGGAGAGAGAGCAAGAGCAGAGTCACTGGCGATGCTGTGAAGAGGTATATAACCATACTTTCTCATCATCAAAGGTCGAGTGGATCCTCATCCACTCTACACCCATCATAACTAGTTATCACTTCAGCATAAGTATATATTAGTTTCAGTCAGCATAGCAGCAATCTATCAAGGTTGCTCCTCCTTGTAGTGCATGTGTTGTATCACCACTACCTGACGTCTGAAGGTGGTTCATAGCAAACCAGTGGTCCAGATTAAGATAGAACCGAAGGCAGTAGTCCACTGTGGTCTGGGGATCACTCCAAGCATCAGTCAACACACTGGACACTCATGTTGACGCCACCAACCTTATCACCAACACCATCAACCTCATCATCATCAACACTCACACCAGACCTTGGTGTCATCATAACCTTCGTATTGATATTGATCATATGCTGCTGAGTTGGTGAGGCAGTGATTTTCACTCCCTTGGATGAACAGGTGTCTCGGAAGGTAGTGGACCATAGTTTGCCCTGGTCCACACGAACCTCTTTGAGTCCATGATCGGGGATAAGTGTGGTGGTCCTTGAGGTGTGGCAACATGTACCTCCTTGAGCCACCACATTGCCTCCTGGGACACCCCACCTTTGCTTGCAAGACCACACACCCAGATCATGTCAGAGAAAGCATCATGAATGATGAGCACATATGCTAACTTAGTATTACCATGTAGCAGACCCATCACATCCATTGAGACCAAATCAAGTGGTTTTTCAATGTGGCAAGGGTGGGCAACATTGTGTGCAATAGCTTTGCTTTGTACACAGACATTGCAAAGGACACCAGACTGAGTAGTGGGGTTCACTGGAATGTTGTGAGCATGAGTCACTGCATGTGTGTGCATGATTGATTCATGGCTAGCATGGCCTAACCTCTGGTGCCATAGATCTGCTTTGTTGCAGGACTCAGGTGGATGTACTGTGCTAGCTGTTGTCATAGCAAAGGCAAGGGAGACAGCAGGTTCAGGCATGCTGTTGTCCCATATGATCATGGCAGCTGCAGGGTAACTGTCCCTGCTGGTTGGCACACAGATTGTACAGCCATGCTTGTCCTGGACAGTGACTAGCTCATTCTCGAAGGTCACCATGCCTTGAGCTTGCATGACCAACTTTGTGCCAATGAGGTTTGTCATGAGGTCAGGTACAAGTAGGCAGTTCCAATAGGTCATTTGTTCCCAGCAACACATCTTGGCATTGTAGCTCAAAAGGCTCACTGACCTGCCCATCTTTGTGGCAGAAAGTTTGCCACTGTCAGCAGTGGTGATGTTGACCAATTTCTCTACATCTTTCCAACCTTTCCCAAAACAGAGGAAATTGACCATGATACACAATGCACCCAAGTCAAATACAAACAGCACAAAGTGGGGTGGAAGATTGATTGGTGCCAGCTCAACTTCTGTGAAGAATGTCAGGGCTGGTGCCATATCCTATTCCTCCCAGGGGTCCTCAAGTGGTAACACAATGCATGTGTTGGTGTGGCCCTTGGGAGGCACCTTAGTTCTATTGCACTTCCATCAGCTATGGGCAACGTCATCAGGACAGTCATTGGCTCTGTGGCCAAGTTTGCCGCATTCCCAGCAGTTGATGAGTGTAGTGTCAGAGGTTGTGTGCCTGAAACCTGAGATCTGTAGTAAGACTGCTCCTATTACAGTTCCTGTCGAGATATGTGATTGTATATGTGGTATTACGATTCTCATTGAGTTATGCTGTAGTGATGTCCTTATGACCTTACTTGCTCAAATCTGTGATTGGGGTTGTGCTATTGCAGATTTCGACTGACCACTGTGGACACTCATCCAGAGGTAGCTTGGCACAATCAATAACAATATGAACTGTACTGACACCAAGGTCTGGTGTGAGTATGAATGCTTGGTGGCATTGACACAAGTGTCCAGTGTGTCGACTTATTGCTTGAGGTGATCCCTGGGCTGCAGTGGACTACTGCCTTCAGTTCTATCTTGAATCCAGACCACTGGTTGCTATGAACCGCCTTCAGACATCAGTGAGTGGTGATACAACACATGCACTACAATGAGAGGCAATCTACTTGATTGCGACTATACTGACTGAAACTAATATGTACTTATGCTTGAAGTATAACTAGTTGATATTGTGTAGAGTGGATGAGGATCCACTCATTCACCTATGATGAGAAAGTATGATTATATACCTCTTTGCAGTGTTGCTGGTGACACTGCTCAGGCTCTCTCTCCAGAGGATATCTTCTTTGTCAAGTACTGTGCAGGAGTCCCTGTAACATCCCCTCTGTCCTTACCTGAGCTGTATGTTGACCTCTTTGACACAGCTCTTCCTCCTCATGACCTGTATGCTGGTGTCAGTGACACAGCTCTCCTTCCTCCTACCAGTGACTGTTCTCCTGACTCTTATCTTGTGGACCCCTGAGTGGTAACCAGCTGCATGTTTCTGAGCTTGGTCCCCATCTTGGCAGAGCTTGGTCCTCCTCACATGTGAATTTGTTGTATGAACATCCTTGTCACTGATCTCCATGGAATCTGCTATATGACCTCTCCTACTACTGATCTCAGTGGGATTTGTGATATCATCCTTGTTTGTGCAGATCTTGATGGGATCTGTCATAGAACTGTTTCTACTATAGATCTCAATGAATTCTGCTGCAAATCCCACAATCTGCCTGATTCCTCAATTCCTGCACTCCCTTCATATGAGTTGATGGATCTTCTTACTTCTTGCGCATCCAGGCCTATGAAATGTAGCTGCTCGCAGGGCGATCAGCTCAATTTCCTCAGATGTGGGGTGTAAATGGATGGGAGCACTCTCAGTGGCGAGCTCATAGCATTGGCATAGAACATCAGCAACACTTGTAGCAGTCTAATCTTTTCCATTAAGTTGTTCATGCAATATAAACACTGAATTGAAAAGAGCATTTCTGTCTGAGGGAAGAGCATGCTTGAGCATCCAGTAACAATGGTCGGGCATCCAGGGGTCTTGCAGATAGGCATGTAACTCTGATACATGTGCTTCCCACTTGGTAAGGAAGTTGTACACATGGCTCCTGACTTGGTCCCAGCACAAGGCATAGGTGGCTGTGAGGAGCTTGTACTCTTTAGCAGCAGAGTGTACCATGCATTTCTTCATTGCCCAGTCAAATAGGTCCATGGCAATGGTTACCAGTTGGTCACTGTGTTTGGCAAAACACTCTGTATGCAGCCTGTCAGAGAAGCTGTGCATGATGATTGAGCTGAGCATGGAGTCAGCATCCTTGAATTTTGTCACCTTTCTATTGAGAATGTTTTGGGTGAAAAGTACTATGGCTAGCATTGCAAGCATCTTGTGACACCATGCATGCAGCAAAACTGATCTTGGGTCAAGGAGACCTTTCTTGTCCCATCTCATTTTGTCATTCAGGCTGCAGAGTACCTTCAGGTGGTGGTTGGTGATGGTATTGAGTTTGGGGGTGGGCCCCAGCATAGCTTCATGACAAACCAAGTGATGAATGAAGTTGTTCAAGGCAGAGACAGAGGTATCACCTCTAGTTGATGTGGGTGCTTCATTCTTAACCACATGGTGGTATTGCATGGTATCACTGGCAGGAACCATTGGGCCTTCAATTTTAAGGTCAAGGATGTGATCTGCATTCCATTCCCTTTTTGCAATAAAGAGGTTAACTCTGATTTGCATCTGCCTGCCAAGTTCAACTTGGCTGGTGAATGGACCAAGATCATGCATTCTGTAATAAAGCTCACTAACACACTCAATCATGATGGAGAGAGGTGAGATAATTTGCTTTCTGTCACCAGTAACAGCAAATTCAAATAGTTCCCCCTCCTTCCAAGCATTTGGTGTACCATAGACCTCATCAGTCATCACCTGATTGAACTGATTTTGGAGGATCTTTGGCAGCTGTGGTAGGAGATTGGAGTGACAAAGTCATTGTAGAGGGAGTAGTTTATGTCGGACATCATTGAAGGTGAGTTCAAGGATGAGGTAGGGCTTTGAGTTGGGCTCATAACCTGAGAAATAGTGGATCACACGGGTCCCAATGACTGGTGATCAGTGAGAGTCTGAGCACAATGTCACTGCTGTTTTAAGACAGAAACATGTATACTCAATTGACTGAGGAAAGAATGTGGTGGGAGCCTTGAGCTCCCCACTTGATATATATACAAATGAGTGGTACTTGCCAAATGTGGGTAGATCCTACTTAATGACGAGCTATGACAACGAGCGGGACCATGTTGTACCCGATTCTCGATCTCCGATCAGACTGTCCTTCACCCACATCAACCAATATCATCATATTGGTTCGTCATTCTCAATATGAAAGCCTGTGACGAAGACAAGGCACTCAGATGAAAATTTACAAGGAACACATGTTAGCAACACTGTATGACTTGCTCAGTCGTCCTGAGGAGGCTTAACAGCTATAGCCAACGAATGTTGACCAGCCGTCGAAGCCGCCATGATACGCCAAGCACCCGGTTGACCAGGCATTGCAATCGCCGTAGGTGTATTTTTGCTCTGGTCTCCGCCCGCCTCTTCCGCAGGGTGTCCCAACGCATCGTCTGAAGTAGTTCCCCACGAGTACAAAGTTCCATCTGCTGCCAGTGCCAAGGTGAATCGCATACCGGCGCTGATAGCGACGATCTTTGTTTTGCCGTCTTTGGTCTTGGCCGACTTGGGAGCCCAAGAGGGTGGTGCGGGGAACGGAACAAGAGTAGGCTCGCGCACCACAATGGGGTTTGAAGCAGAAGTGCCCTTCATCGCTGGGTGGTCAGCAGGCAGACCAAGCTTGCCCTCGTCGCTGTCACCGCAAATGAAGACTTCCCCATTGGCAAGCAGGAAAGCAGTATGGAAGTTGCCTCCGACGATCTGGACAACCTCGGCGCCATTATGACGGACAGGGCTGAGCGCAGCAATAGTGTGAGGAGTTGCGACCTTGGCTGCCTTCAAACCAGTACCAGTCTGACCCTTTGTGTTGAGACCCCATCCGACGACCTTGCCGCTCTTCTCCACGGCGAAGCCATTCGTGAGGCCGCAAAAGATGCGCCTGCAATCTGCGAGACCAGTGAGGGTGGTCGGTGTCAAGTCGCAGTCCTTAGGAGGCTCGCCCTTGGAGAACTTCTGGGCGACTTTGCGCGGATTTGAGCTTCGTCCAAGTTGGTAGCAAGTGTTGGTTCCCCAAGAGTAGACCTTGCCGGTGAGGCTGAGAGCGAGGAAGTGATTCTCTCCTGCTGCAACGGCTGCGAAGTGCTCGTGCTCGATCCCTGGCAATGCGATGGGCCACCACTGCTCCCTGTTGCGCCCAGGAAGATCCGAATCGGCGAAGCAGACACGTCCCTCGCCATCCTTGAAGTAACCCCAGGATCGCAAACGACCCTGGTCATCGAGTGCGGCACCAGCGGCATCAGCTGACGCAACACGTGTCGCACGGTACTTCTCGACAGTGCCCTCCTTTCGGTCGATAGGGTTGATGCCCTTGCCGGTTGGTGAGATGCCTTCGACGGGAGCAAAATTGAAGTACGACTCTTCAGCGTCAGCAGCATTGCCTCGGTGCTTTCGTCCAAGAGTACCATAGTCCTCGGCACCAGAAGTCAGGATACGACCAAGACTGTCGATCATGACCGAGTGCATTCCACCGCCAACAACAACTTCGATTCCGCCCTCGCCAAAGTTGCCATCATCAATCTGAAGCGAGATCTCTTTGTTACCGAATGGCTTGGGCTTGTTGAGCTTGTTTGGCTTGTCATCTTCGGGAGGTCCGACGCCGAATTGGCCTGCGTCACCGGATCCCCAGACAAAGAGCTTGCGTGGCAAAACTGCACCCTTTCCACTGGTGGACTGACTGCCAACGCTCACCTCTACAGCAATGCCCTCGGCCACATCACCAGCATGAACGGGCTGGGTGGGTCGTGGCAGAGAGTTGATTGGACCAGCAGGAGTTGGTGCGCGTCGTGTACGTTTGGCTGGACGAGCCGTTCCATCAGCCATCTCTACGTCGCTTGCGGGCTCAGCAGAAGCACCACGTTCCTTGATGAGTCGCTTCTTGACATCTGGCAAAGGAGCAGCAGTGTCTTTGGCCTCTACTTCGACGTCATCATCTTGAAGCTCGTCCTCTTCCTCGTCACCCTCCTTGGCTCGCTTCTGTCCACGCTTTGCGCCATTCGTCTGGGCTGCTTTCGTTGTGGTTGCTTTCGCCTTTGATGCGCCATTGGCAGCAGGCTTCTTGGCTGAGGCTTTCGAAGCTGGCTTGGAGGCGGGCTTTTCCGCTTTGGATGATACTGCGATTACAAGCAATGAACACAAGAGTGTCAGCCATTGGTTCTCCTAGTAAAGCTGAGCCACGTGTAGGACGTGTTTGCCTGATTCTTACCTTTTGGCGCCATGCTGTGTATAAATGCCTATCTAGCGAAGCGCCGATCGTATCGAGTCGTGCTGGATATGTGTGCAGGTGGCTGTGTGATACGACATGCAGTTCGACAACGTCCAGATCATGCGCAGAAGTGTATTTGATGAAGGTTAGCTCCTGGCTGAGTCTGGAATCGGCTTCAACTTCATCGAAAAATTGTGCCTGTGGTGTGTGATGCTGGAGATTGCGATCCAGTGCGACGCCAAAGGATGACGCGGGGCCGATCTGATCGGAGATCAGGCAGAGCCAATCCAGTTAGATGACCAATCTGATCAGAGATTGAGCCAAGCCGATCTCACCAGAGATCGGGTGCAACACAGTCCCGCTCATTGTCATGGTAGATCATTAAGTAGGAGTACTCCCACCTTTGGCATGTGCCACTCACATGTATATACAGTACACATATAAACTGTCCCATAATTTTACATGTCACCATACATCACTCTAATGCTCAATAGCTATAAGTTGTATTGCCACACTGTCTGATATCATCTGAAAGCCCTGCTTCTTCTCTCCAAGACTGTGTAATTGATATTGACATTGACTAAAAAAATTGTGCTATGAAGAAGAGCCAAATTTTATTTTATTGTGGGACAGTTTATGGAGCATGCTCCCAAATAGTGACACCACTCCATTCCTGACCTTGTGGGCTTTTGACTACAATGAAACTTGCAATGTAACTTGGTGGGCACCTTCATACACATTGAAAGTAGTGATGTGGAAAGTTTCAGCTCAATCAGATGACTGTGAGCAATCTGGCAGCACTTCCAGTCTGACACCATCATATCTATACCATCATGCCAATAACCACCCCAGAGAGGTGCTGATTGGCACTCTTTCACACCCAAAAATGGTGAATCTATCCATTCAGTTGTAGAACAACTTGGTATGAGCAAGTCTACAGTGAATCACAACAGCAAAAGCACCTCTGCTGATGTTCCAAAGTCAAAGGGGGGCCAGCTGAGAAAACTTCAGCCTCATCATGTTCACTTCCTGGATCACTATTTCAAGCTCAATTCAACCTCCACAGTCAGGAAAGCATGTCATGCACTGCAGGAGATGTTTCAAATCAAAGCATGCCCAATGACAGTAAGAAAAGCACTTCATTACTGTTGTTACAAAGCACAAAGGTTAGTGAAAAAACCGAAGCTACTCAAGAGACATTGCAAAGCCCATTTCAAATTTGCTAATGAGCACAAGGACATGACTGTTGAGGATTGGAAGAATGTGGTATGGTCTGATGAGATGAAGATCAACTTCTTTGGACTGGATGGTAAGCAGTTCTGTTGGATTAAGAATGCCAGCTTCAACAGTAAGCTTGTCAGGCCAACTGTCAAGTTCAGCAGTGGCTCCATCATGATCTGGGGCTGTATGACATGGGAAGGGGTCAGAGGTATGCACTTGGTGCTGGGTTCAATGAATTCAGACCAATACATTGATATCTTGAATGACAAGCTTTTAAAAACAATCTCAGATTTGTGGCTTCAGCATGCATACCCCAACATCATGTTTCAGCAAGACAATGGCCTGAAACACATGTTGAAGAAGACAATAACATGGTTGGAAAGTAATAGCATTAAGGTTATGCAATGGCCAGTGCAGTCACCAGACTTGAACCCAATTGAACACCTCTGGCACCATCTCAAAATGCAACTTTCACAGTATAGTATGATTACAAAGTCCAGGGATGAACTGCTCAAGAGATGTGAAGCTGAATGGAAAGTGATCACTCCAGAGACATGTGTCAGCGGTTGCATGCCTGAAACCTGAGATCGGTAGTAGTATCAATACTATTACCGATTCTGTCGAGTTATGTGACAGCACTTGTGGTATTGTAATTCTTTTATGAGCTATGCAGTAGAGCCATCTCTATTACTTTTCTCGCTTGAATCTGTAGTTGTGTTAATGCTATTGCAGATTTCGACTGACCACTGTTGGACACTCCATCCAGAGGTAGCTCAGCATGATCAATAACTATGTGAACTTGCTGATGACACCAAAGGTCTGGTGAATATGGTTTGGTGGCATCGACATGAGTGTCCAGTGTGTCGACTAATGCTTGAGGTGATCCCTGGACTGCAGTGGACAACTGCCTTCAGTTCTATCGATATCAGGACCGCTGGTTTGCTAAGAACCGCCTTCAGACATCAGGGAACAGTGATACAACACATGTGCTTTGATGAGGAGCAATCTATTGATTGCAACTTATGCTGACTGAAAACTAATGAGTACTTATGTTTCTAAAGTATTGACTAGTTGTATGGTGAGTAGAGTGGATGAGAATCCACTTGACCATTAGTGACGAGAAGGTGTGGCTTTTATACCTCTTCGCAGTGTCACCCGCATCACTGCTCCTGCTCTCTCTCCAGAAAGTACCTTCTGCATCGAGTACCTCACAGGAGTCTCCAATGAGGCTCCTCCTCATTTCGCTGTCTGTCTGTCTTTCCTGAGCTGTGCTGACTCCATTGACACTGCTCCTCCTCTTTATGTCTTCCTCACTGGTTTCTCTTACACTGCTCTCCTCCCTTTGACCAGTGACAGTCCCCCTTTATTCCTATCTTGTGTGCCCCTGAGTGGTAACCAGCTGCATGCTCCTGAGCTCGGTCCCCTCTTGGCAGCGCTTGGTCCCACTACTTGCATGTGAAGCTTCACCACACTATCATCCTTACCACTGATCTCTGCAGAATCTGTGATAGGATCTTTCCTACTACTGATCCTGGTGGAATCCACCATACCCTTTCTTCTATCACCAATCTCAGTGTGATCCATAGTACCATCCTCTCTCATGCCAATCTTGTCATCATAGTACTATCCTTCCTTTTGCCAATCTCAGTGAGATCTGTCATAGGACTTGCACTACTACCAATCTCAGTGAAGTCTGTCTCAAATCCCATGATCCACCTGATCCCTTGATCCCTGCACTCCCTTCATATGAACTTGACAGATCTTCTGGCTTCTGCACATCCATTCCCATGACAACATGTAGGACACTAATAGAGAGCATGCCAGACCGCATCAAGGCAGTTCTGAAGGCCAAAGGAGGGAATACAAAGTACTAAGGTGTTCTTGAGGAGTGCTCCATAAACTGTCCCACAATAAAATAAAATTTGGCTCTTCTTCATAGCACAATTTTTTTAGTCAATGTCAATATCAATTACACAGTCTTGGAGAGAAGAAGCATGGCTTTCAGATGATATCAGACAGTGTGGCAATACAACTTATAGCTATTGAGCATTAGAGTGATGTATGGTGACATGTAAAATCTTGGGACAGTTTATGTGCATGCTGTATACAAAGGTGCAGTACATGCCAAAATGTGGTAGCACTCCTACTTCATGATCCAGCTTGACAATGAATGGGACTGTGTTGTACCCAATCATTGTGTGGATCTTCTCCTCTGTGTCCCAATTACATTTGATGTCAGCGTGTATCATCATATTGGATCGTGTCCCGCAGCAGAAACACGTGTTTCTAAAAACACTCGAAATTTGATACCCCCTAAAGATGACTCTGGACGACAGAGCTGTGGAGTGTGGTGCATCGGTACAACATCGGTGTCGTGCCGCGATTTTTCGCCGGCAGCTACGATAACCGCGCATTGCACCGTTGATTATTCTTGTCGATATTGCCGAGCACGCTGAGTGTTGCATTCCTTTGCCCGCAACCCTCATCTCCTTCCGGGATACGACAACCTTTCATCGTGTGGCCGGGCTGCCGTCGGATGGCCCGCTGCATTGTCAGAAGGTCTACCACACATGTCGGCACCTCCGAGTGGATCGGATCAGCAGATTCCTTCGTTACCGCACACCATGTCGGAACCGGTCCGATCGATCAGCTCAGACAGCGCGACACAGCCAAGCTTGCTGAATCCAGGAATGGCTACCAACCCTACTTCTGGTCTGACGCTGCTCGAGCCTCCGAAGCCGTGTGGCTCCAAAACTTCATCCAGCATCTTTCAGGACACTACAGATTCACCTGCTCCCGACTTGACGAACCGGATTGATGACGCCATGCAGCCAATCAACAAGACACATGCCAAGGTTCACGACATGTCTTCGTTGCCGCACGCACACTCCTCCGATCAGTCGTCCAATTCTCTCAGCTCACCCTGCTTCGTTCATTCCTACTTAGACCGCGGCGTTGCTCTTGGAGAAAGCCTCAAGAAGCAGCGTCGGCAGCTTGCTCGACAGCGCCGATCCAAGAGCTCGCGTCAAATATCGCAAAATGATGTCGCTTCTGCTGATGACGACTCGACTCCTCAAAGCCAGCTTATGCACGCTCAGCCCACTTCTCAGGAAAGGAAAGCTTCTTCGTCTTCGGAATCACCTCAGGCTTTGAGCTCTCAATCGCGATCTGGTCTGATCTCGACGGACAGGGCGCAGGCTCTAGCGACGGAAGACGAGTCCTTGTCAAGCTCAGATGCAACGTCGACCTATATCAAGCGCCGAACAGAGCGTGCATCAGCTCGGGTCCGCATTCGCACCAGCTCGGATGATGATGACGACGACGATGATGATCGCGACGCCGACAACGTCGCTCACCAGCCTTTATCCGATCAAGATTCTTCTTACGGATCATCGTACTCATATTCGACAGATGAGGAAGATTCTGACAAGGTTCGATCTCTCACCCGCCAATTGGCGGAGACTGCTGTGGGTGTGCGTGAAATGAGCAAGCAGCTCGGACGCGCCAGGGTCAAGTCAACCATCCAGTCGGTCATGATCATCACAAAAGCTAGAGACAATCATCTCATCAAGCTAACTCGGGAGCTCGCCATCTGGCTCATGACCACACCCCGCAATGGCAAGGATACCGGTCTCATCGTATACGTCGATTCGCAGCTTCGACAGTCGAAACGTTTCGATGCTGAGGGCATCCGCAGAGATTATCCGCAGCTCTTTGACTCCAGACCAAAGAGGACTCCGAGCTTATCGTCCTCCTTCTCGTCTACATCCGGCCACGATAACAACGGCCCTTTCAACAGGACCGAGGGCGGCAACCAGCTGCGATTCTGGAACGCTGACATGTGCTCGCGCTCGCCACATCTCTTCGACTTTGTCGTCACCCTTGGCGGCGACGGTACTGTTTTATTCTGTTCCTGGCTTTTCCAGCGTATCGTTCCTCCAGTCTTGCCATTTGCACTTGGATCGCTCGGCTTCTTGACCAACTTCGATTTCAAAGCGTACAGAGAGGTCATGAAGTCGGCCTTGGATGATGGTATTCGTGTCAATCTTCGCATGCGTTTCACAGCCACCGTCTACCGTGCCACGTTGCCCACTTCCAGCTCAGCCGACCGTCATCGTCGGCAAGCCATCAAGTCGGGCAAGACGGGCGAGATCATTCTCAATTCGGTCAAAAACTGTGGTTGGAATGCCATCGAGTCTCCAAACCCCGAGCAGGGACATTCAGGTCACAGGCCACGCTCACCCACTCGGCCCGACGAAGAAGTTGAAGTGCCTTCGATGGAGAAAACGTCAAAGAAGAAAGGCAAGAAGGGCAAGAAGTGCCGAGACAAGGAGATCATGTGCTTCAGCACACGTCCTGTCGAGACATTCGAGGTGCTCAACGATCTCGTTGTCGATCGAGGGCCTAGCCCCTACGTCAGTCTACTCGAAGTGTTCGGTGACGAACACCACATGACAACCGCACAAGCAGACGGTCTGTGCATTTCCACACCTACAGGCTCAACTGCCTACTCGCTGTCAGCAGGTGGCAGTCTGGTGCATCCGGAGATCCCAGCCATCTTGATCACACCCATCTGCCCCCACACACTCTCGTTCAGACCGATGCTTCTGCCCGATAGCATGGAGCTGCGCATCGCTGTGCCGTACAACTCACGAAGTACCGCATGGGCAAGTTTCGACGGTCGTGGACGTGTGGAGCTCAAGCAAGGTGATCACATCAAGGTCACAGCAAGTCAATACCCCTTCCCCACGGTGTGCGCCGAGAACCAATCGACAGACTGGTTCTCCAGCATTTCGCGCACACTCAAATGGAACGAACGACAAAGACAAAAGTCGTTCGTTGTTGTCGAAGAGGGCGCTGACCCCGACTCGGGCAACAACCAAGAGAAGGGTAAGGACAGCGCTTCCGACGCTTCTCCGAACAAGATGTTTGCCAAGCACGGACACAATGGGGACCAGGACAGCAGTAGTGATGACGATGAGGACAGCAGTGATGAAGATGATGATGACGAAAAGGGAAAGGACAAGGAGGATGAGGACGCGGAGAAGTTCGATATTGACGACACCAGTACGACTGTTACTCGCAGCAACAGTCCCAACTCGCATGGTGATGGCCACGTACGAAGACGATCGGGACAGAGCACAGCTCGACACGCAAATGGCGCTCCGAGACGCAGTAGCGGTCCTTCGCTATTGAGCAGCTCGTTGCCTCGTCTCACATCCATTGCCAACGCCTTTGGTCCCAAGCCAGGAGAAGGACATAGCAGTGGTCATGGTCATGCCAAGGAGGGAACATCGTCAACAGCTTCGTCCAATCCGGGCTCTCTTCTCAATAGCCCCGACCGTTTCGGCTTGCAAGGACCCCCTAATCCACCCAAGGCCATTAGCGAGCGCCATTTAGCTAATGCCGACTTCCGTCTCGACGGAGTGCGTGTCCTTTCATCATCGAGTGTTCCAATTGTGGGCTCCTCGTCCTCGAAAGGTGCTGGATCAGGTTCGGGATCGGCACCACGCGCAGCTCGCACGACCGAATGTGGACGCAGTTGGAGCTCGCGAGACAAGCCAATGACTCCCTCTTCTGCCTTGGCCCGAGAGGAAACTCCTCAAGGGCTCCGTTTCGATTCGGTGAAGGAGGTCGGAAGGCGAAGCATAGAGCAGAATTCCGACAGATACGATCGATCCAGCAACAATGACACTGGAGGCACAGCGCTGGTGGTGTATGGTGAGGATGAAAGCGATTCAGATTCGACCACGGGCGCTGGACACTAGAACTAGGCAGATCTGCCGATCCATCAGGAACGTCTGGAATCTACATTCTCTCCACACCGGCTCTGATTCTCTGTGATTGTGTGTGCGCCTCATTTGAGGCTTTGGAGACTGTGGCCATTCGCGGGCTCGCGTTGTCGCACGTCCTAAGGAAAGCTGACATCAAGCTCGGCGACCAGGAAACCCGAATGCCAGTGCGCCCTCCGTTATGCTGTGTCTGAGGGTCTCCATCACAGGCCGGTCTTCTCTGGCTTCCGGCACCCGAGTGATCGGGGGTACCCCGATGATACACTGGTTCGGCACCGTCAGAAGCAAGGTGGTTCCAAGCGAGCGGGAAGGCATGAAAGCAAACAAGTTTCTATATATTGACAGCATCGTCCTCCGCGCGCGCGTTTTTCCGAACCATCAATTCATACCATAGCATAGACAATACGAGAGCATAAAGGGGAGTTAGGATTGCGGGATGAGCGCGAGTGTGCTCACAGGTGTCAGCGGTCGCGTGCCTGAAACCCGAAATCTGCTGGGTGGGCTTGTTCCTGTTGAAAAGTGAAGACATTTGGTCCCGATAACTGGCAATTGGGGAGAGTCTAAGTACGATGTCACTGCTGGTCTAGACAGAAACATATATACTCAATTGACTGAGAAGCATGGTGAAAGCCTAGTGGTCCCAGCGTGATATATATACATCTGGATGGTACATGCCAAATGTGGGTGTAACGTAGTTCACATACATGTCAAATTCAATTGAAGAATACCAAGGCTATACACTGTCCGGAGCTACTAACAAGCTCATATCCACAGGCATATGTTCTTGAGAAAGGTCTTGTATTTCTTGTTCATCAGTTACATCCTCAATGAGCATATATATACCTTATCACTATCTTTGATCATGTCTGAATGAGATGAGCTATCTCCTATAGGGCCCCTGAGTTGCCACCCTCTGCAGTATAGCACATGATCCATTGGTATGGCAACCCTCATGTGCCTCATTGTCTTCATTGCCTGTGCATGTTCTTGGCCCCTCAGTGTCTTGGCTAATGCTCGCATATCCAGGTTGGAATGCCAATGCATCTTCAACTAATTCACATAGGTCTCGGATTGGAAGTGGCCAGGGGACTTGGGAGTTTCTGGACTCAAAATTGCTGAAACAGCCAAGTCCCCCTCTCAATTTCGAAATTTTGAGGCAGCAGCTCCAGTCAATTTTTGTTCAACACACACACACATGACAAGCAGGCCAGTCCACCATAGATGTGGACCTTCACTATATCAAAGCACAACAACAACACTTGAATTGCAATGCAACATAGGATCACATGAAGGGCAGCATGGGTGGAAGGAAGGGTGGCATTGGCTGCTGTCAGGGGTCTCGTGCCTGAAACCCAGGTCGGTCTGTCGAGATACTCGGTGACTATCAAACTGTGCGACAGCTATTGTCTCGGTATCGGTGACTATCAAGTTGTGCAGTGACAGCAGGTGGCGTTCATTGTATATACTATTGTAGGTTTCGGCTGACCTCTGTGGACACTCTGTTCAGGGGTAGCTCGGCATGATCAATATCAATGTTATGATGACACCAAGGTCTGGTGTGAGTGTTGATGATGATGAGGTTGATGGTGTTGGTGATGGGATTGGTGATGTCAATGATAATGAGGTTGATGGTGTTGGTGATAAGGTTGGTGGCGTCAACACGAGTGTCCAGTGTGTTGACTTGATGCTTGAAGTGATCCCCAGACCGCAGTGGACTACTGCCTTCGGTTCTATCTTGATCCGGACCGCTAACCTGCTATGGGTGCCTTCGGACATCAGGTAGTGGTGATACAACACACACACTATGATGAGGAGCAACCTTTGATGGATTGCTGCTATGCTGACTGAAACTAATATATACTTATGCTGAAGTGATAACTAGTTATGGTGAGTAGAGTGGATGAGGATCCACTCGACCTATTGATGATGAGAAAGCATGGTTATATACCTCTTCTCAGCATCGCCAGCGATGCTGCTCCTGCTCTCTCTCCAGAGAGTACCTTCTTCATCGAGTACTGCTCAGGGGCCTCTCCTGCTTGGCACCCCTGTGCCTCTTGAGCTGTGTCGACTCCTTCGACACTGCTCCTCCTCCTCATGACCTGGTGTCGACTCCTTCTACACTGCTCCTTCTCCTTTGATCAGTGACAGTTCCTTTGGCTCTTGTCTCTCGAGCCCCTGAGTGGTAACCATCTGCATGCTCCTTGAGCTTGGTCCTCTTTGTGGCTGTGCCTGCTCCTTGAGCTTGGTCCTCTTCGTGGCTGTGCCTGCTCCTTGAGCTTGGTCCTCCTCGTGGCTGTGCTTGGCCCTTCTTTGCATGTGAGTCCGTAGGAGTCCATGGTCTCCATGGAGACTGCACTACAACCATGCTCTCTACTGATCTCGACTAGATCTTCGATACCTGTGCTCCTTCCATATGAACCCGTGACCCTCCTGCTTCTTGAGCATCCAGGCCCATGACACTGGTGATGATGGTACCTTTACCATGCCTTCCCCTTTGCAGGCTCAACCATCTTTCTCCACTGCTGGTGGCTTGGATGTCTTTGATTCCAGATCTCCCCCCTCTTCAGCCCAGCTCTCTCCCAGCACCCAGCACAAGCAAGGTGCAGTTGATCCCAAGCACAACTCCCTTGCTGAAGCTTTCTATTGTTCTTCCATAGATAGCCTCCAGATCCACCTGCAGCTTGAACAGGAACACACCAGACATGAGAGAATGCTGGAGGCTGAGTGTACCAAGAGTGAGGAGGTGTGCATACAGCACAAGAGGGAGGAGAAAGAGCACAACAAATGTGTTTGTGTGTGTGATAGTGACATGGTGATGGAGATGGTGTGCCTCCTTGCTTCTCAGGCCAGTGGTGAACATAACCATGCTTGTCAGAACACCAGCAACAACAACAACATCAACTCTACCCCATCATACTCTCTTCCTGCCCTGTAGCATTACATGTACCATCATCTGCATGTATCACAATCTGGTCTCAATGCAAAGTCGCCTCTGAATGCTGTAATTTCTGTAGAGTGTGAGTATGAGGAGCTTAAGACCAGCACACAGTCCAGTAATGAGCTTCAAAGCATTTTAACCAACATTTTCTCTCTCACACCTCTTCTGTTACTACCACCACTACACACTGTGACCTTTCTGCATCATGCTCGTTGCCAACCTCCTGTGTTTGCCATCCTCCCTCTCCCTCTTCTTCTCCATCCTCCTTCTCCATCCTCCTTCTCTATCCTCCTTCTCTATCCTCCTTCTCCATCCAGCCATGGTACGCAACATCGGCAAGAAAGTACTTATCAACAACATTGTCTGCACTCTTGAGCTCTCTATACCTGCAGGGATCAAACAAAATGCCGACAGAGTGCAGCAATCCTGCAGCACCAGCACCAACATTGACAACTTGGACAATGATGGCAACCCACTTCTGCTCTCACAACACCTTGTCTGCTTGTGCACTTTCATATGCAAGCAGAGATACACAATCTCATGTTCCAATACTCTTGGCCATGCCAACAAGCTTATCCACCTTCTCAACAGATATGCATCAATCAATAATAGGATGTATCATGGACTTGTTCACATGTCCCCTGAAGCATTGACATCCTTGCCACTTGACTCCAGCAAACAGAAGCTTTCCAGTGGAACTACAGCACCTCAGGTATGATGTCTCTCAACAGGGTGCAAAAGATCCTTTCAGTGGCTCTGTACAGACTAGGCCATTCTGGAAATGGAGGTGGCAAACATGATGCTGCATTGCAATGCGGCTGTAGTGTACCATAGGTCGCGTGCCTGAAACCCGAAATCTATAGTAAAAGGCAACTACAATTAATTTGGCAAGATCTGTAGTAAAGGCCCCGAGGTAATCTTCAGCATTCCTGGGAGTGGCATCCACCAGGTCGTGTATTGGGGGCAGGTTGTGGGCATGCACTGCATGGTCAAGGTCTGCATCGCTGGATTCCTCCATGAGATCACCACTAGGCAGCACATGATTGGAATCCTTGTTGCCAGCAACATCCAGGCTAGTGTCATGGGCCTGAATGCTCAAGAAGCAGGAGGGTCACTGGTTCATATGGTAGGAGCACAGGTATCAGAGATCTAGTCGATACCAGTAGAGAGCATGGTCATAGTGCAGTCTCCATGGAGACCATGGACTTCCACAGACTCACATGCAAAGGAGGACTGGGCCCATATGTGAGGAGGGTCAGGCACAGCCACAAAGAGGACCAAGCTCAAGGAGCATGCAGATGGTTACCACTCAGGGGCTTGAGAGACAAGAGTCAAAGGAACCATCACCAGTCAAAGGAGAAGGAGCAGTGTATAGGAAACCAACAAGCAGGTCCTGAGGAGGAGGAGCAGTGTCAAAGGAGTCGACACAGCTCAAGAGGCACAAGGGTGCCAAGCAAGCAGGATAGCAAGGAGGAGGAGCAGTGTCAAAGGAGTCGATAGCTCAAGGGGAACAGGAGTGGTGCTAGAGGGGCCCCCTGTACAGTACTCAATGAAGAAGGTACTCTCTGGAGAGAGAGCAGGAGCAGCATTGCTGGTGACACTGTGAAGAGGTATATAACCATACCTTCTCATCATCAAAGGTCGAGTGGATCCTCATCCACTCTACACACACCATAACTAGTTATCACTTCAGCATAAGTATACATTAGTTTTCAGTCAGCATAGTAGCAATCCAGCAAGATTGCTCCTCATTGTAGTGCATGTGTTGTATCACCACTACCTGATGTCCAAAGGCAGTTCATAGCAAACCAGCAGTCCAGATATAGATAGAACCGAAGGCAGTAGTCCACTGTGGTCTGGGGATCACCTCAAGCATCAGTCAACACACTGGACACTTGTGTTGACACCACCAACCTTATCACCAACACCATCAACCTCATTATCATCAACACTCACCAACCTTATCACCAACACCATCAACCTCATCATCATCAATACTCACACCAGACCTTGGTGTCATCACAACCTATGTATTGAT